CACAGATTTTCCAATTTGTCTGTGATGCGGTTCCATTTATATTTCTCGAAGGACACTAAAATATAGGAATTGTAATTTTTCAAAGATTTTCGAATTTTTCTGTGATGCTGTTCCGTTTATATTCCAAGAAGGACACTGAAATCTATAGGAACTGTAATTTTTCAAAGATTTTCGAATTTTTTTCTAACGCTGTTCCGTTTATATTCCCCAAAAGGCACTAAAATATGGGAATTGTAATTTTTCAAAGATTTTCGAATTTTTCGGTGATGCTGTTCCGTTTATATTCTCCAAACGACACCAAAAATTATAAAAATTGTAATTTTTCGAAGATTTTAGAATTTTTTTGTAATGCTGTCCCGTTTATATTCGATTGACACTAATATGTATGGGAAATGTAATGTTTAAAAGATTTTCGTATTTTTTTCTAACGCTATTCACGGCGTTTAACGCTGAGAACCTTGTGACGGCCATCTTCCTAGCTAAAAATAAAAATTCAACATAGACGGGCATAACTCGAATTTGCAATAATAAGTATTTCAGCGTTATGAGTGCAACGTCGTAAACGTACATTATTGCTTGTCGAGTGGAAAGGTTATTCAGAAATTTAAATATACTGCGCTAGATTGTACCGCTCGTAAGAATATATTATACGTTGGAGATATTTATACACTTCTCTTGTGGTCTCTGTAATGGTATATTGTATAACTGTTACCGTAATCGCGTTAATAATTTTTCATAATCTTTTAATTTATTATTTAACGCTAGTACTACCGAGTAATTCAATTGGATCCTTCTAATTTCTCTATAGAAACTCCAACTTTGTGTCTGTTGAGGTTTCAATCGATTTATAATTTAGTTTGCGTACTTTTAACTCTTTGAACTCTGTAGGTTATAATATTGCATCAGTTATAATATTAAATATTTTAATGAATCAAAGAAACTACCCTACAATTATTAGATTTTCTATTATTAATTATTAGATTCTTATTAAAAGATCGAAGGTATGTTATAGCATTTTTCATTTCCACTAGAGATACCATAAAAATTAGTTGCAGTTGCTGATAGATTACAAAACCATCTGGACTGCTAAGGGTTAAATTAATTTCGTTATTCATTTCCCTAAGAAACATCTATCCTTTCTTAATACTTACAAAAAAATATAGAAATATCATTTTCACCTATTTGGTAGCTCTAGTGTTAAACATTTTACTAATTTCTCGTGTTCATCGATCAATCCCGTTAGCACGACATTCGTTCGTCATTTCTTTTCATACGGTCGACCCTGTATACCTCAGGAATTTCCAGGATCGTTAGACCTTCGTGTATACCGTGTCGCAGCGTTCCGTCCCCATTGTTTCTCACGGGAAAATGTCTCCCATCTGAAATTACGGTTCGTCATACAGAAACGCGCACCAGCAGCTATTCTACTCCCTCGTTTCTCGACTTTTCCTGCGTCTCAATACTACAAATTCAACTCTGCATGCAAAGACAAGGAACTTCAAAAATCCAGATCCCATCCGTGACGCGAGGATACAGCACATTGCGTGCCAACGAGAACTCTTGTTCTTCTATAAAAACACTTAGCCGTGTAACCTCGCTAATTACCACAGCACTGAAAAAAGTACGAACCCTTAACGATCGTAAGTCACCTCTGACGCGACGTTTGTTGACACACCTTCACGTTGAACATTGTTTCAAAGGATATCATACACTGAAAGCTAATTATTCGAAACTCATTTGTAATACTGCTTCATAAAGTAAATCGAATATTTTTCACAAATTTACTAAAAACTAACTATAACCCTATAGTTATTATATACTATAAAATTTGATATTTAATATTATATTTCCTATAATGCATCGTTTTGAGAAATATTCAAGTAAAATAGCATTGTTCCTCAATGTTCGCGTGATTTCTCATCAGAAAATGTTAAAATATCTAGTGAAAAACTTCCTAGTGCAAAGGGTTAAATTTCATTCGAATCGATTATTTAAAATATATTCCTCAACAATATAGTTTCTCTATGTATAGCGATATAAATATAATCTCACTGAAAATGATCGGCACAATTGAGTTCCTGAAAATTAACTATTAATATTCATTCCCAAAATAAGGGTACATAATTCCTACCCTGAAAAACTTTCATTACGCACCGCCAAGCGTGCCTCTCCATAATGCCTCGTTCATCTAGATAAGACCGACACATGTGCCACCGGAAACTTCGGTTACATCTTCCTCGCAAAGTGATCGTTTAACCGCTAAATTAAGTAACATTCAAGCTTTCCCTTTTCCTACATCTCAATACATCTCTACATCCTCCATTCCCCAACATGTACCATTCTCCAGCACACGTCCAACAGAAATGTACCACAAACGGCACACGTGCCGCGGAGCGTGTTAATATTCGTTGCGGTTTCCAGCGAGCAAGTTCAAAGGAACAAACTCCGCGATGTGTAATTATAGAAATGCGACAAGGCGTTTTTCTCGCGACGGTGCCAGCGTTTCTTGTCATTGCTAGACGCGATTCCGAAACCGGTTACAGTGTCCCTTGCCCGAAAAGAAGGGGCGGCCCTGTACCTGCGAGGTGCGCGCGTGACGGCGAGCACGCAGGGAGAGGGGCACTGTGTCACGCACGGCCGTGTCCAGGTAGTGCGAGGACCGTTCACCCCCGAAAGCGAAATTAGCATGGCCCTTGGCGCAGGTCAAGGGCTTTAAAAGGGCCGGCGGGGTGCAGATTCGATCAGTGCACGTGAAATCTTCCCGGTACCAAGATCTCTCTACCTCGCGGCGGAATCTCTCCGGCGGGCCGATCGCGCGCCTTGCTAAGCGTTATCCGACGCGGCGGTGTGTTCGCCAGATTACACGTACATGCGTGCGCTCACGTGCGCCTCGCGTCGGCGACGTCGTCGTCGTGGCACACAGTGTTTTGCCTAGCTTTGTTTTGCTTCCCCCTCGCGCGCGCGTACACGATAAGGTTATAGCTCGTTGACAACGGCAAGAAACGTGGAAAGAAACGTTGCCCCGCGCGTAAACAAGGACAGTAGCCACTTGGATACAACACGGTGAGTATGCCCGCGGTGCCGAGTGTTCTCGCTTTTTCCGAGGGTTTTTCACGGTAAATAGAGTTTTTTCGGGGGTGGGGACGTCGGATCGGTAGGTTTGGTTAACGGTCGTCGAGCTGGCTCCTCGGGACTTCGAGAGAAGCTTCGGCCGAGGAAGGACCATGCACGGGATAGAAACGCGACTGGAACCGATCCCCCTTGGAATCGGACTTTCGTCGAGAGTGATCAGGGAGAAGCGTTTTCGGAAATCGACGGTCAGGTATTTTACTGGTTCGAAGCTGTCGAAATGGAAGCAGCTCTGCGCATGGTTCTTGTTTGCTGGTACCGACGCGGTCATCTTTGACTCGCGTGCGAAATATCCTCGTGAGCCGGCTTCTCGCAATAAAGGTATTCTGTGTGTGTTTGATGGGTAATTGAATGTAGTCCGTGTTGTATTGTCAGTAGGTAGTAGATGGTATTTCGGTGGTAAATGTTAAAATTATAGCCATTAACGTAATGGGGATCTTGAAGATATTGAAATGTAACTTATTTCTTTGATTGGTACTCAAATGAATTCCATGTTGTCGATACATTATAGGGTATTTCTTGATTAAACGTTAAAATTGCGGCCGTTAGAAATGGGGAATTCGAAAATATTGAAACGTGACTTATTTGTTCGATCGGTACTCAAATGAATTCCATGTTGTCGATACGTTACAGGGTGTTCCGTTATTAAACATTAAAATTGTTGCCTTTAGTAATGGGAAACTTGAAAATATCGAAACGTAACTTATTTCTTCGATCGGTACTCAAATGTATTCCATGTTGTCGATACATTATAATAGGGTGTTCCTTTATTACCAAATGATTAGACACAGCAAAACTGTAAACTTCGATATTTAAATTACACTTCGTATAATGCATCAACGTACGAAATACTGAAAGAAAATAGTTCTCTTCCTCGATGCATGTGATATTTCTTAATTCAATCTAAGAAAATGTCTGTATCTCATTAGAAAATATTGAATATTCCCGGTGAAAAACCTCTGCAGTGCAAAGGGTTAAACATTAAAATTGTTACCGTCAGCGTAACGGGGTACTTGGAAATATTGAAACGTGACCAACCCAGTGAAACTCGATCCCGCGAGGGTCGGAGGGAGTTCCTGTGTCCCCTCTTTATAATATCCTCTTACTTGCTGGACCCGTACAGGGTGTTTTATAATATTCTAACGAAAAGCTCGACAATGCCGAGCGACTCCCGCCGGTAGGAATTTTTTTCCCTGTCGTCCACGCGCACCTGACTCGTCTCGCAGGCTATGTCCGCATTTTATGGAACACTATCTGTACAGGGCTGATGCAACAGTCAGCCAGATTTGAAGGAGTCAAGCGAGGTCTCGGTTTATAGTTTCCGTTTCGCAGCGAGAAAAAGTCCTGCTTCTAATCTGCCAATAGCGTCTCGCGTGTTCCGCAGTACAGATTTTTCATTCATCTCTTCTGCATTCCTCGGCTGGCTGTTAGGTTAACATTCCACGAGTCGGGTCGAGGAAAAAATTGACATCCGGTTCTGGTAGAAAACTCGTATGCGATTCGAGTGTGCTCGGTCGATTTCCATGTATCAACCGTAATTAGACCATGATGTAACTTTCAGTCACATTTGAACTTACTGAAACTTTTTGATTATCTCGTATTGCATTTCCGAAAGGTTTTTTGGACTTTGAAATTTGGGCCCTATAAGCAAAAACGATAACATAAATATGAACTATTATATATATATATATATTCCTTTTATTTTTATAAGTGACTGAGAGTCACGTGGTATGATTCGTTAAAAGACACGTACGATTAGAGTTAATTATAATGAATATAATTGAATGTAGACTTGAGGTAAAATTGACCCACGCGTTGCGACGGGTTGAATCGAGTCACAGTCGAATATAAATGTCGTCTTGTCGTTCTAGATGCGGTAGAATCGGAAAAAGTGAAATTCGAGGACCTAAGGGAGCCCACGACCGGACCGCCTGGGACTGGGACAACTGGAGGAGGCGGTATAGGCAGCAACAAACGCGCCAAGAACAAGAAGAGGCGCGAGGCGCAGCAAGAGTTCACGCACTCGTGGATGGTGGGTGCGTTGAAGGGACACACGGCCCCTGTTTTAGACATGAGTTTCTCTAGTAACGGCAAGTTCCTCGCAAGTTGTGCTGAAGGTATGTATACAAGATTATAGTAAGAATTGTTAGAAACGGAAGAGTATTCGTCCACGTCAGACTCGTTGTTATCAGAGGTTCTCTTGAAATATCAATTTTTTTAAAGTACATTCTTGTAAAGTACGTTCTTGTAAAGTAAAGTACAGTCTTGTAAAGTAAAGTACATTCTTGTAAAGTAAAGTACATTCTTGTAAAGTAAAGTAAATTCTTGAAAAGTAAAGTAAATTCTTCCAAAGTAAATTTTCGTGAAATGAATTTTACAAAGTTGAACACGACGATAATAACTGTCGTATAAAAATGTTCTGTTAATTGTTTAATGAGATTCAAGGTCCGACTGAGGTGCGAATACTTTTCCTTAATACAGTTGTAAAGCGCGAGGAGGTTGCTTCAGAGGAGAGCCTCTCTATCAGCGTCGTTGCATTTTTCCGTTTCGTTAGTATCGTCCGATTTATGCGTCTCCGAGGTTTATCGGTAAACCGGGATGAAATAGTATTTCGAGATAAACCGAGCAAACACTAGACGACCGTGTCCCGATGGTAGATTAATTTTTCATTCGTTTATCAGCCCGTAAGTCTTCTTTATGTTTTGATAATAATGTCACCTCGACGGTTGTTTTTCAACTGTGGAACAGAATGGACAAACTATTGCGCAACGTTCCGCGATTTCCGATAAACAGTATCTTTCGATTGATCCGATTGTTACGAAGAATGACCAAGCTACTGGAATCGGGGAAGTAAAAAACGATCGCTGTCTCATTTCTCGCGGGGGTTCGTTATCACGTACACGTGACCATCTGTTTTAAATTTCCACGAAAACACCGAACACTTTTCATTTCGTACATCCTCGCAACCCTATGGTTTCCATAACTCTTTGCGGACGAAGGTTCTTTGAAATATAGAAAATTGATTCTAAAATCAGTAGATGAAACTAAATTATACATCGATTGCTTAGATAATTGGAAAAGGGAAACTACGTACTGATCTGCTGTCTTAGTAATTAAATCATTCGTTGGTGACTTAGTGTTGCAAATATGAACATCCGATCTCGCAAAATATCGACATTCGTCCGCAGAGGATTAACAAAATGGCAAAAGTTGTTAATAAGAGGAATCAAAATATTTGATCGATTCAAAATGTTCAGTTAACAAGGGAACTGGTTAAAATTTCAAAAATAACGAGGCAAAGTGATAGTTTTTACATACTGAGAGGAATGATATAGATTAATTTAACACTTTGACTGCCACGTACACTCATCAAAACTCCCACGTACTCGGAACAGTTTTCTCTATTAACCAGAAACTGAGAAATCAAGAATTCAAGTTATGAAAGAAATTAATGTCCACGTTTCTATAAAAAATAGTCACCCAAATTCAGGTGACGTGGCAGTCAGTGTTAAGAGTTTCAATTGAAAAATGTTTATTCAAGCTTGAATCTTCCTAACTGAGAATCAACGTTTTCCCGAAATTTCCGATACGATGGCTCCGAGGAGAGAACTCTTTATGGTGCTCTTAAGGTCAGTCGTCGAGGTGACACGTGCGTCCCGGAGGTTATCCGTCCATCGTTACACCGACGGCGATGCAAGACTTCTCGTTCGTTGCGCGAGAAAAGCGATAAAAAGCTTCGTGTTCCTGTTAGAGTGGCTCGAAGTGGAACCTCCTCCGGGAAAGATTTCTTTTTTCGTTCGTACTCGTGCATTATCATCCGAACTCCCATGGAAAGCAACCGCCCGCTCGGCGAGACGATTCTTCCTTCGCCGGAACGATCATCTCCGTTTTACTTTCCCTTTCCCTCTGACATTAGGCAGCGATCAATTCGGTGTCTCAACCCTTTGCACTCGAGAATATTTCTCTCAATACATTATTTTCTGATGAAACGTTAATGATATTTTTTGCAATTTACATAAATACCTTAAATAAATTGACAGAACTATTTTATTTCGATGTTCCACGTGTTCGTACATTATATAACATTTAATATTGAATTTTCGATTTTACAATTTTCTTGGGTCAAATTAAATGGCGACTGACAACTCTGTGTTATTACAATATTTTCTTTGAAATGCAGTTTAAAAAATAGCTTGAAGAGAGCAATGTAAACGATTCTTATTAATGATATTGAAAGTAACAGAATAATATAATCTATTTTAAAAATATCTTGACAAAGAATCATAGGAGCGCAAAGGGTTAAAATAAACCTGTCGTCTACTAAAACTGTTCTCTTGAAACATAGAAAATCCTCGAACAACGAGGAACACTCGATTCCAAATAATTCTCCAGTTGAATCAGACCGAATTGATTTCTGCTCCTAGTACAAGCCTCATTGCCCAAATCGATGAACTCTTAAAAAACTGTAAAATTTTATCAAAGTACCTGGTAAACCAATTCCAATTGTCTGACTCAGTTCTACGAAATAACTCTTTCGAGCATAAGATTGCAGAAAAATGCATTTCGCGTGTTAGATTAAAGCTAATAACCTGCAACAACGACAGTAAATTATACTGTGCAATATTTATTCGATGTTCGAGTGAAAGGTACATTTACAAGCAACGTTTTTCGCATCGTTTTTCTGTGTTCCGCGGAGCTAACCGATTTGGCCAATGAGCGGCTCGTGCGTACCTATATATGCATGCATGTGTCATTGCTGTCCTTATTGTCGTGTCAGTAACAATAGCCGATCTCTCTGTCTCCGCTTGGCTCGTTCTCGCGACGATTTACGGCTTCGTGCCGATCGTAACGCGACTATCTCGCGCGCTCCGCATCGGAGCGAGGAATGGTAATACGCTCGTAACCGAGAAGAAAGTTCGACGCGTCGGGACCGTGACTTAGACCACGGTTTCGTCCGTCATTCGTCTAAGGAACGATTAACGCTCGAACTACCGAGCAGTCGGTTTCAAAATGTTCCCGTAGAAACTTCACGAGTTAATCGACACATCGATCATTTGGAACTTCATCACTGAAACAATTTCTTCAGAAATCTGACACGTTGAGCGCCGGCTGAATTTCAGACACTAGAAACGGGAGCGTCGGTGATTATATTGATACATTTTTAAACATTGATTAACCCTTCTCGGAAGTTTTTCACTAAAAATATTCAACAGTTTCCAATGAGCTATAGACGACATCCCTTAAACGAATTCAATGAGGGAATGTACGTAAGTGAAATGAAGTTATTATTTCAATATTTCAGATATTCATAGATTATAAGAAGCTTAATATTATATGTGAGACTTTATGATTTTGGTATATCAAATATGGTGACTGAGAATCACCTTTCGAGTGCAAAGGGTTAAACAAAAATTTCTAACTTGCGGAAGGGAATAAGGAATTCGATTTTGTAAATTTGGGATTTGTGTTGTACATATCTAGAATGTTACATGAACGTAGGATTAGCGATTGATAGACTAAAAATCATTATCGCGGGGCCGGCGCTCAATGTTAATCAATTACTTCTCCGATAATTGTAAAAGAATTTAATAATGTGCCATTTTTCGTCACCCGGTAGTTCCAGCGTTAATACAAATGTCTACAAATCTCATCCGTCGTCGGTTTGGTTCGACATCGATTTCCTTGTAATTATTCTCAAGCAGTTACGAGTGTGATCATCGATCATCACCGCGACAGTCGACGTGTTAATTTATCCATGTAAATTGACCGATGAAATTGCGACTTTTCAGATCACCGATTAACCGATTTCTTTTTGTTACTCGCTACCCGTTCTTAATGTGTGTATGTTTGCGCTCGTGTGTGTGTGTGTGTGTGTGTGTGGATGGCGATGGAATTTTTCATAATTCTAATGTCGAGCAGCGCGTTTAGCGGACGAGAAAGCTGATTAACTTTCGTACTCGCGAGGGAAACACGGCGTCCCGGCCTCCGAAACGGGCCGACTCGTTACCGTAGACCGGCGTTACTCGTTAGTAACGGATTTTTCTTCATTATCTTGCTCCTTTTTGTTTAGTCCTGCCGCGGAGCAGAAGTAAACGGTCGGTTTATGTAGGTCGCGCCGAGTGAAATCAAGCTATTCTCGTTTTTAAACTCGAGAAAGAAACGTTATCCCGGCCCGATCGAAACGCGCGGTTTTTACGAATGCCCCGGCCTTTTCGACCGGGATCGCTCTCCGGAGTGAAAAACGAAATCCGCGCGTCCCGCGGCTCATTGTTGTCTACTTTCGGTGCTCGGATCGCGATCCACGTCGATCCTGGAGGTGCCTTTCGAATTCTTTTTCATTCGACTCGACGGACAACCGATTTGTGTTTGTTTCTCCGAGTTAGCCGTTATGGAGTAGTTTCACCCCTAACGGTTGTAAGTCACCTCTGAGGTGACAATAATACTTTGTTGTTGTATGGGACGTGTGAGGTTACATGTCGAAACTTATACAGTAATAATGCTTCGTAAGATAAAACGTTTCTAACGAATGTTGTTCTTAGAATACTGAATATTTTTCATATATTTGCTGAAAATACATAACTTTGAGAATCATGTTGCAAAGCTAGTGTTTGATAAGGGTTGAATAGTATTTTTGTTCGATGGGGATGTGGACCGATCGTTTCGAAAATGATCCGTGCGACCCCAATCGAAGGACTCGAACGAGCGCGGAGTGAAAGTATAGAAAATGATAGAAAAATCGCTTGCGCCAAACGACTACTTTCACTATTTCATCTTTAAGATCGGAACGGGTCTAACCGATCTCTCTCCCCAGCGTTCGATGCAGCTTAATCCGTTCGAGACCGGGGTTTTCTTTTTAAAAGATTGTCTCTGGAATGTTTTCTTTTTGGTTTTTGTTTTAGAGTTTAGAGTTGAGGTAGTTAAAGTTCAAATAATTCTAAGTTCGGATAAATAAAGTTTGAACAATTGAGAGTTGGGATAATTAAACTTTCAACAATTGGGAGTTGGGATAATTGAACCTTAGAGAATTGAGAGTTGGAATAATTAAATTTTAAACCATTGGGAATTAGGATAATTAAACTTTCAACAACTGAGCGTTGAGATAATTAAACTTTCAACA